CTATTGCACATTGTGCCTATGTAAGCCGCCGTGAGCCCGCGTGCGGGGAGGGCGGGGTATAAATGAAATTAAATAAATAAATAAAATTAGCTTGGAGATCAATTGTAATCTAGGGTTGCCTGCCCCTCGGTCCCAGGATGGGTTCCCCTGCTTTTGGGGGTTTTGATCCATTGCTGACCGGCAGGGGAGACCCCACCTCCAAACAGGGACATCATTGTGTGATGTCCTGATGCAGTGATGTCACTTCCAGGTGACATCATCACACCAGGGATGTCACACAGTGACACTCTGGTTTGGTGGCAAACTTTATGGTTTTGAAGGCAAAAAACTGTAGAGTTTTGCCCCAAAACCTGAGTATCATGCATAGGGACCTGGTAACCCTATTGTAATCCCAGGAGATCTCCAGCCACCACCTGGAGGCTGGCAACCATACCCGGAGATAGCGAGTGACTCTGTGACCAACAACCCAAAATGAAACCAGATCAGGTGACTCATAATGTGTACGGTTGCCAGAATTCTTAACAAACTACTGGACACGACAAGCACAGCTCCAAAGTAGTAGTGGCTGCTGCTTTGTGCTGAGGCTCAGCATGCTCTTACTCCAGTGCAAACAGCACCAAGCACACTGTTTCCCCTGGGAAGAGCAGCCCACCCCCACCCCCGACCAAGCAGCTAGGGTTGCCAGGTCCTACCTGGCTGCTGCTGACAGGGGGATCCTGGAGCCACTCTGGAAGCCTTCTGCCCCTCGCGCTTTGCATGTGTGGTGCAATGATGTCATCCAGAAGTGACATAATTGCGTCGCTGGCGTTGCACACAACACTCTAGGTTTTGAGCAAAACCTCTATTTTTTGCTACAAAACCATAGAGTTTCAAAACTCCAAATCCAGAGCATCGTCGTGCAACATCCCCGGCATGATGACGTCACTTCCAGTTGCCGTTATTATGTCAGGGACAACACACAATGGTGTCCCTGTTTGGGGGTGGGGTTTCCCCACCAGCCAGGTGGCCAGCGGCAGATCAAAAACCCCAAAAGCAGTGGAACCCCCACTGGGACCTGGGGGTTGGCAACCGTAGAAGTGGCACACACGGCTGCTTAGCCCTTGTACTGGGCACTGTCTCCTCCTAGCGCAAACAGCCTGCTTCGATGAACAATGATTTCTCCTAGATAATAAAGCTGTTTTGGTGTGACTGTTGGACACCCTCCCACAGCCTTTGGCCCGCTTGGCTGCCACTTTCGTGGACTCCCAATCCCCTGGCTGCATTGCCTCGCTGCGTTGGCTCAGCCCCACCCACAGAGCCGGCAGCCAGCGTCTCACTCTCAGTCTGGAGGGAGCTGGTGAAGGGGATGGGTGCTCCGCCGAGGGAGCAGCAACCCTTCCACAGGGGAGAAGGAGGCAGACCTAGTGAGCAGCAGCAAGCAGGGGAAGCACTCACCTTCACTGTCCCTCACGGCCCCTCTCCCTCATCCACAAGGTTGCCGCTTTGTCAGGGTGATAGCTCAGTGAGATGTACCACAGAGAAGGCTGCCCAGCACCTTTCAAAGGCTCCCCCATCTTTTTTCAGCAGTGGCGGCAGCACCAGGCAGAGTCTGGCCTAGAGGAAACAAGCTGTGCCTCCTGGAAAGCCAGACTCTCTCCTGAGGAAGACACTTCTCTTGGCTCCTGTGTGGGACGAACTGTGACTAACTGTCCCCTCAGTGGCTGTTGGTAGGCAACCAACTTCTGTCAGTAAAAAAACAAAGGACTTTCAGCATAACCCACTCCCCTGCCCACTGTCAGCTTCGCCACTTTCCTGTCAGAATAAACTTCAAACGGCTCTCTCTCCTTTTTGGCTCCACCATGACTATCAGACCATTCTCTTCAACCCCCTGCTGTGCGGCTGACTTTCCCCTAGGGTTGCCAGTCTCCAGGTGGGACCTGGAGATCTCCTGCTGTTACAATTGATCTCCAGATGACAGTGATCAGTTCCCCTGGAGAAAATGGCTGCTTTGGAAGGTAGACCCAATGGCATTATCCCCTGCTGAGTCCTTCCAATTCCCCCCCAATGCTGCCCTCCACAGGATCCACCCCCCAAATCTCCAGGTATTTCCCTAATCAGAGCTGCCAACTGTACTTTCTCCTCAGTGCCTGTTGCCAGGCAACCAGGTTATGTCAATAAATGGCCCTTTCCACACTTATTTTGGCCTTTGGGAGAAAACTCATTGGGTCCAGTCCTGATAGGGTCGCCAACTCCAGGTGGGAAATTCCTGGAGATTTGAGGGGGGGAGGCTGGAGAGGGTGAGGTTTGAGGAGGGGGGGGACCTCAGACAGGTACAATGCCATAGACTCCACCCTCCAAGACAGCCATTCCCTCATGGGGAACCATTGTTGCCAATCTCCAGGTGGGGGCTGGAGATCACACAGAATTACAACTGCTCTCTGGGGGGGAGATGGAAAGCTGAAGCCAGGGGGCAGATGACAGTAGGTTGACCGTTGGCCAACTCCAGGTGGGGAAATTCCTGGAGATTTGAGGGGTGGAGGCTGGAGAGGGTGAGGTTTGAGGAGGGGTGGGACCTCAGACAGGTACAATGCCATAGACTCCACCCTCCAAGACAGCCATTCCCTCATGGGGAACCATTGTTGCCATTCTCCAGGGGAGGGATGGAGATCATGCAGAATTACAACTGCTCTTCAGATGGCAGAGATCAGTTCCCCTGGGGAACATGGTGGACTCTGTCATTATTCCCTGCTGAGTTCACCACAGCAAATTGACGCTGAGTGCCCAAGGCTGGGGCACTCTCCCAGAGCCTCTTTCTAGAGCTCGTTGTATTTATTTCCACAACAGGCCTTATTCCTAGTTTTAAAATAAAGGAGAAACTGCTTTGCCCTTGGGCTGGGCACCACCTCCTCCTAGTGCAAACAGCCTGCTTCAATGACCAATTATTTTAAAATAAAGGAGAAACTGGCAGAGCCAAGAATTGTGACCTTAGAAAGAATACTACAGCCAGACAGGTGGAACTAACTTGCCATGGTGCCTTTTTGGGGTTGGAAAGTGGCTTGGAGGGGAAGGCAAGAGTCTCTACCCACCCACCCCCACCATTAACAGTTCCCAGCTCAATCAGGCTCTCCTTTAGCTATGTGGCTGCTGGTAGAGTCAACCCCTCCCCCAATTTTTTTAAAAAGTGCAATGAATAGTTTGGCTCTTTGCTCAGCCCCATTGCGGTGGGAATGAATGACTATGAGCTGCTGTCTCCCACCTTCCGGCCATCCAACCATCGGCCACTGGCCATATCCATCTGTATGAATTGGTTGGAACTTCCACCAGTAGCTATAACCACTGTTTTTAAATGTTTATACTGTCCTTTTGAACTTTATTGTAATTGCTGAAAGATGGTGTGACCCGCCCTGAGCCTGCTCACGGGGTGGGCGGGATACAAATACGATAAATAAATAAATAAATAAATTCCAGGTAGGGTGGCAATGTTGGTCTGAAGCAGCAGAACAAAGTATGCGTTCAGTGGCACCTTAAAGACCAACAAAGTTTTATCCAAGGCATGAGCTTTCACCAGCTGCCCCCTTCCTTCCCCCTGCCCTGACACCTCTCTGAACCTTCCAGTGGCATTTGGTATGTCGTGGGGGGTGGGGTTGCCTGTGTCTCTCGCCAAGGCCAATCTTGGCAGCAAAGGTCTTCACCAGGGATCAACAAGCTCTCTGTGCTGCACCCTGCCTCCTGCACTGAGGCAGCCCCTGACTAATTTCGTGGGGGTCTGAGGCAGCGGCACCTACCTCCCTACAGCCTGGGCAGCAGTGGATGGATTCAGCAGCTGGGCTCTGCTAGCACTGCCATCCTCCCGGCAGGATGGGTGAAGGCGTGCAGCCACAGGGGACTGGTCCTGCCTAGTGAGGCAAGATGCACAGTGCTCGCCCCAGCCGTCGGTGCTGGAACTGCTCCTTCAGATGACAGTGCTGCCCACACTGAAAGGAGCATGTATGTAAAATTGTGCTGTGGACCCCGTCAAATTCAACAGGCAGGGAAGATCCACGGGGAGCAAGGCAGATTGGCGGGTGCTGACCCCAGAGCTCCATGGTAGCTACGGGCCTGCTCTGCATGCCAAGAAATATTACAAATGGGGACAGGGGGAAAAAGAGAGAGCAATCCAGCCCTTGTGTGGCAACTGGAGACCCAGAGGTCTTCAAGTGGCCAGGGAAACCAGCTTATCTTTCAGCCTATTTATGCAGGAGGCTGGGAACAGGGGCCCTTTCTGCACTCTCCTTTTAATCTATGTTCGCCGCAGTGAACTCCAAGCAGTTCTGCACTAAAATCAAATTCAACCTTCTTTTTAATTCAGGTTTTTTTTCCATTCTGCACTAAAATCAAGTACAGCCTTCTTTTTATTCCGTCCCCCCCCCCATTCTGCATTACATTCCCTCCCATCAGTGGTCAGCCCAGTTTCAGCCTGCTGTTGCCAGAGATTACTTGGATGCTGTTTTGCTGTGGACTTAAATTGTCTTGACCTGAACACTGAGAAAATCTCGAGTGGCAGGCAAATGTGGAAAGGACCAGGATAGGAATGCCAGGTCCCTCGGTGGGGCGACGGTTTGCCCACTCAAAAGGCCCCTGACCTGCCACGGGGGGAACCCCGCCCCCAAAGTGCCTGGATCCAGCCGACTGCTTTAGAAAACAGAATACTGGACTACTTCCAGGCTGTAGTTCCATTCTTATGTTGTTTAATTTGACCAGTGATTATTTTTCTAATTGGTTAATGATCACAATCAATTTTTTTAAAAAAGCTTGCTACCCAAGGGCCAAAGCTGGTGCTAACTGAGTAGATCTCAATGAGCTCAGAAGAAAAGGAAACAGATTCAAGAGTTTCGTTTTTTCCAGTGAGTCAGTTTTCGGTTTCATTTTCTAAAGGGCTGTGTGTACGTTTCCCTTATGAACAGACACAAAAACACACACCCTAGTCTATTCAGTCCTGGGAGACTATAAAAAAGGAGACTGTAATAGAAACGGCAGATGTTCCGTCTTTATAGAAAGGCTATCCAGGTTACTTGACAACAGACCAGGAGAAAAGACCAGGTTACTTGACAACAGATATTAACTTGGAAATCATGAGGTAAATCAGGAATCATAAGGAATTTTTCGTTTTTCTCAGGAATCATAAAGGACTGCTGCCTTCTTGTTTATATTTAATCATGTTGGTTTTATCATTTTGGTTTATATTTAATCATTTTGGTTTTATCATGTGATTTTTAATGACTGAATTTAAATAAATGAATATAATTGGGTAGCTTTTATTTTTAGTAATTATAGAATTAACTTTTATGTATTTATCCTCTATGATCAGATTTTACTGTGTTTTATATAGTATGCCTAAAATTATGCCGTAACATTTCAATTCCAGGGATGGACACTTTCCTCAGAGAATTTCATATCATTGTCTAACAGGAAACATGGGTGACTGAAGAGATTTCTTCGGAGGGCTACATGGTATTAGTGGTTGCTGCCCCCAAAGGGGGAGAAGAGTGGGCATCCTAGGGCAGGATTGGCCTGTGTCAAACAGGGGTGTCAAACATAATGACTGGGGACTGGAACTGGCCTGTCTAGGCCTCTTGCTACTGGTGAGCAACTGGGATGAGGGAGGGAAGGCAGGAGGCTGCTTGGGTGGGCGAGCAGGCACATGTGGTGAGGTGTGTGTGCATGGTCGAAGCTGTCAAGAAATTGAAAGGAAATTGTTAGCCAAATTGCCTTGAATTCTTAATTAGTTAAGGGGAGGTTATGATTATTAATTGGCAATAGGCAAATTAGGATTCACACCAATGTATACAGAAGTCCCACCTTTGCTGTAAGTACCAGAACAGACACAGAGACTGTATTAAAATATAATGTCTTTTTACTGGGGGATATGTATCATTCAAATAATACACAACCACACACACATTTATACATATGCTAAGAAATAAAGTTAGATCCGTAACACAGTTGCATTAATAGGACATTCGTTGGTTGGGCAATATTTACCTGTCTTAATTGATTGAGCCATTCCAATGGAAGAACGGAGGGGTTTATAAATAGGAAAAGGGTGACACGTGCTCTGGACCAGCAGAACCACATGGACTCTAGCTGCAGACTAGAGGTTAAAGATGGAGGTAGGGTATGTGGATAGCAAGCTGGACATAAGAGGGTTAAAGCTTCGATAGGGGTCATGGAGAGGGTAAGAGAGAGACCATGTGGTCAGGCAGGATCTTTTATAACAAGGTGTGGGGGGGCTGACTAGTCTGGCCACATCCCCCTGTGTCACCTTCTGTTAGTCCGTCCCATAAAACATACTATTGGCTGGCTGGAAGAGGGGAGGGGGACTAAGGAGTGGTCAATATTGACAGCTAGAAACTTAGACTGAGGACTGGCACCTGGATGAAGGATGATTGAATCATCAGGCTAGGGCTATTGTCTCTTGATGGCCCTAGCCAGCTGGCTGATGGTTGGGCAATTAGTTGCTAAGCAACTATTATTGGAGTCTCAGAGCTATGTGCAGCTTTGCAGGTCTGGAGGAGGGGGGGTTTCCTACATGTGCTTGAAGAAACTCCTAATGCAGTTTGAAGTTCTCTGTCCTTGTACCTTTCCATGGCATGGCATCTGAGGCTTTGTGCAGGCTTATGGAACTGCTTCATCTCACAGCAGGTGAGATGTCTGGTGACTCTGGACCATCACTGTGGCAGCAACACTAAAGGAAAGTGTCCCTCTTTCAGGTGTGCAGTCTCAACAGGTATTCCCAGGTCTCCATGTTGTACAGTCCCTTTGCACAGTTCATATTCCATAAAAACACATTGATAGGCTTGCAGGGCAACAAAATGGCTAGTGGGTGGGGCCAAGAGGCTGAGGTAAAATAGTGGTGGTGGAGGGAATGGAAGTGCAGGCAGAGAAAGAGGAGGCGTGGTTTCCCCCCTCCCGGCTCCTCCAACCACAGCTCAAAAAGAATTGGAGAAGCCCCTACATGGGGTGGCAGAGCCGAGCGGTTGGCCCTGCCACTGCTGCAAGAACTGGCTTCATTTTTTTCCAAATGGCAACCGTGAGGGGGTTGGCATGAGAGGTTGTGTGGAGTGGCACTTAGCCAATGAAATGACAGGGCCAGTGGGGAAGAGAGGAGTAGACGGGCCAGCATGTGCATTGGGAGACAACTGGGCTGACTTGTGGTTGCCACTCTGAGGGGAAAGACCTCCTGGTGTTGGAAGGAAGTGGAGGAGCAAAGACTAAAAGGGGTGCTGATGTCACTACTGCCATGGCTATTTTTGGGCAGGAACGCACAGGAACAGAGTTCCAGCTGGCTCTAGAGTTGGCCATGCCCACTATAGCCAAAACCTCTGCATTTGTGGCTGCAGAGGGAAGGCCTGGAGAGCGACCCCCCTGGCAACTCCAAGGAGGGCGGGCCAGGGGGGCCCCTGGAAGGATCGTGGAGGCATTTAAATGCCTCCCCGTGCCTTCCCCGGCCTGTCCAAGGGCCAGCTTGCCCAGTCTCCCTGCAGCCGCAGGGCACCCGAGCAAGCCAAGGGAAGGAATGGCCTACTATGCTAATCAGTTGTGTTGTTGGGGTGTGGCCTAATATGCTAATGAGTTTCTGCTGTTCGGTGTGGCCTATTATGCTAATGAGTTCCTGCTGGGCTTTTTCTACAAAAAAACCCTATGACTACTGCAATGCTGAACAATCTTAGAGCCAGGAGGCAGACTGAGTGTTGGGGTGGGGTGGGGAAGGTGACATCCCTACTCTCCCCACATGTTCTCAGTTGGTGAGGGAAAAGAGGTCACAGGAGGACAAAAAGCACCCCCTGGAGGTTCCCTCAGTGGGAAACACTGGAGGGATGAGAACTGGGGGTGGGAGATCTGGGAGAGCCAGATTCAGACCCCCCCCCCCGAGCCAGGTTCAGACCCCCACCCCGAGCCAGGACCACCAACCCCAAAGCCAGGGCACTGTCATCTGGGTCACCCAGAGACTGGCCCACCTCACAACACTGTTATTGGCTGTGGGTATGGGGCGGTGGTGGATTGGAGTCCTGGGTGCCTCCTGAAATCCTCAGGGGTAAAATGGGGAAAAGAATGGAAACAGAGAGAGAGAGAGAGAGACGCACTGTAGCTATGCTCAGCTGCTGAGGTTGGACATATGGGGGGTGCTGAAAAACTCCCTTATTTACTTGCAAGGGAGATGACTTATCTCCTAAAAGACACACACACACACACACACACACACATTGTAATGTACTCTTATGGCCACACGAGCGCTAGCAAGGCCGTGCGTTTGGACAGACCTTCGGGTCTAGAGACAATGGATCAGATGGATCCTAATGTGGGCCAATGGGCTCACGTGGATCCTGGAAAGTACCTACGGTAGACCTAGTAGTGTAAATATAGCCTATCATGGTTGTGGGTGTGTGTTTGGGTGTGGTTAGCTATGGGGACATAAGCCGGCCTCGGGCCAGACTATCCATCTCAAGTTCTCCATGTATGAGCTGTTATCACGCTACTCCGCATCAGTCTCCGTACTTTATAAACATAAAGTAGCTAATTTGTACAGAAACGTATGATACCCTGCTTTTATAGTATACCTTGGAAAAATCCTGGCTTTGCATATGATTAAATACGTTTATTGGGGCTTTTGTAGGCTTCCCAGTAAATCTCTTGCTGGCACTGCTAGGAGTCCATTGCTTTTATTTGTATTTTGAGTAACAATATTGCTAATTGGGTTTGTCTGCATCCTTTGTAAAGTTTATAGCTTTGGTATCTGACATTACATTTTATGGCACACATAGCCCAACTCCACAAAGTAACATTTATGTCAGATCCAGCTCTCCTAAGAAAAGGAGTTTAACATCCCTGGGAAGAAGAAATATATGGGGAGAACTGAATGGGTTATTGCAGGATCTTAGTGATAAATTGTTTAGGATAAGTGATTTTAAATTCATTTCTGAACTTTGCAATCTGTAAATCTTCATCTCTCCCCCCCCCCTCTATTTTGTAGTGAGGTTTCCAAGGATTCTTTACAGAGGATCCTGCTGCAGCTCGAATGCCACTTCACTTGGATGTTGCTGAAGGAGGACATCACTCCCAAGGAGCTGGAGGAAAGGATTGCAGATCAGCTTGAATTTTTACCGGCCGAATCCAAAATTCAAAATTATAACCTGCTAGCCTACGTAAACCATTTGAACGGCAAGAAAGAAGCCACTCTGGAACATTTACAGAAAGCTGAGGAGGCCGTGCAAATAGAGTGCCCAAAGGAGGTTGAAAAGGCAAGTCTTGTTACCTGGGGCAACTATGCTTGGGTGTACTACCACATGGGCCAGCTTGAAAAGGCACAAGAGTACATAAAGAAGGTGGAATGCACCTGCAAACAAAACGGAAGTGCCTCTCCTTATAAGATGAAGCTCCCACGTATCTACTGTGAAAAGGGGTGGGCACTCCTCAAATTTGGGGCAAGCTATTATGAAAAGGCCAAGGAGAGCTTTGCAAAAGCATTGGTGGAAGAGCCCCAGAACCCAGAATTTAATTCAGGCTATGCAATCACATTGTACCGTATGGAAGATTATTATGAAAAACAATCTTCTGCAGAAGGGTCGTCGCTGGAGCCCTTGAGACATGCGGCAAGTCTGAATCCCGATGATCCTTTTGTTGTGCCTGTCTTTGCAGTGAAACTGCAGGAAGTTGGTCAAGCTGAAGAAGGGGAAAAGTATATTAAGGAAGCCCTTGAAAAAAATCCAGACGTTCCCTATGTACTGAGGTATGCTGCCAAATTTTACAGGAAAAATGGCGATGTCATTAAATCCCTGGAGCTTTTGAAGAAGGCACTAGGGTTGACACCAAACTCCAGCTTTCTGCATCATCAGATTGGCCTTTGTTACCGAGCACAGTTCCTTGAGAAGAAAAGGGCCAGATGCCATGACAGAGAAAAGATGGAGGAGCTGATCAGATGTTGTATTTTTCACTTCCAAAAAGCGGTGGAGCACAAACCCAAGTTTGTCTATGCTTATCTGGACCTTGCCGGCATGTATGGAGAAGCAAAGCGTCTTCAGGAAGCAGAGGAAACATTTCAGAAAGTATTTGCTATGACCAGGCTAACTTGTGAAGACAAGCAGCTGCTCCACTTCTCATACGGCCGCTTTCAGCAGTTTCATAAAAATTCAGAATCGCAAGCCATGAAACACTATCTGGAAGGGCTGAAGATGGAAAAAGAATCATTTCCAAGAGAAAAGTGCAAAGTGGCTTTGAAGAAACTGATAGGAAATAAAATCAACAAAAGCCCAGGAGACGCAAAGAGCTTTGGCATCCTCGGGTACATTCACCAACTCAGTGGGGAAAGGCGCCAAGCCGTTGAGTGCTACGAACGAGCCCTGGAGATGGATCCTGACAATGAAGAATACCTCAGTGCTCTCTGGGCCTTGAGACTTTCTTTGCAAAGCTAAACCTTCCCATGTGTGCTCATGAATGTATCAAAATTCAGAACACTCTACTTACTCCTCACTTTACTTTAGACATTACTTAGACCACATAAATAACATATTATATTACAAAGGAATGCCTCATAAAAGAAATCTTGGCATTGAGTTTTTGATAAATAGGCTTATGGGTGGAGGGAGATCAGCATTAGAGAGTCTTGAGCCCAAGTAATTTCCAAGGTAATATTTTTGTCTCAACCATTCTATAATTCCTCAGCACTTCCTACTGCTCACGGGGTAGATTTACACTGAAAAGTCTGGATTGGATATCTTCATCCCTGGATGCTGTTTGGCCAAAGGATAATAATTGAGTTAAGAGCCTAGAGAGAGTTAGCTTGGATTCTGATGGACTAAAGGACTATGATCTGCTTATATTGCAGTGGACAGCAATGTAGAGAATGTTCACGCTAAGGCCTTTGACTACTAAAACTAAGGTTGGTGCCATCTAACGATGGTCTCTGAAATGCATTAGATAGTTAAGCTAGTTTTCTTGTTGCTTGATTTTAGAGTGTTGCCTGTAGATTGAATATTTGTTCTGAAAAAATATTAAATAAAACTTCATATAGTTTAAAAAGAGAAGGTTTGGTTGCCTGTGTACATCAGCCCTGCAAATCCACAGGGTTGGGAGTCCCAAGAGGCAATGGGGCATTAGCACGGAGTCAGTTAAACTGTTAATCAGCTAACGTGTTAAACATGAAGCAGCTTTCGAATTGAAAGGTGTTGGGGGAAAGGGAAGACCTTGACATCTCTTGGAATTACAATTGATCTCCAGACTACTGAGATCAGTTCCTATGGAGAAAATGGTTGCTTTGGAGGGTGAGCTCTATGGCATTATACTTCACTGAAGTCCTTCAATGAACCTGGCCCTTCCCTTAGTATTGCCAACGTCCAGGCAGCATCTGGAGATCTCCAGGATCAGTTCTCCTGCAGAAAATGGTTGCTTTGGGCAGTGGACGCTGTGGCATTATAGCCTGCTGAGGTCCCTTCCCACCCCAAACCCTGCCCTCCCCAGGCTCTACCCCTCAAATCCACAGGTGTTTCCCAACCCAGAGTTGGCAGCCCTGTAACTGGCTACGGAACCACTTTCCAGACCCTTGGAACCCAGAAAACATGGCATGCTTCACTCCTCCCATACTACCCACTTGAGCAGCAAAATAACTTGAGACAGCCCTGCCTTATAGCTAAGCAGAAAGAAATAAACATGGCCTGGCTCCCTCTGTTTTCCCCTCCCTCCGCCGCCCCAGCAGCCACAGCCGGGACACTCACCTGGAGCCTCTTTCTAGAGCTCATTGTATTTCTTCTCACCACAGGACTTACTCTTAGTCTCATATAAGACATCTGTTTCTAACCATATGTTTAGTCATACTGTGATTATCGTTCATGGAATTATCTGATCTTTACAGCAACAATAAGGGACAGTTCTCTCAAAATATTTTCTTCCATAAGAATTACTTTTTTGAGGAAATCAGAAGACATACTGAAAACATCTGAAATGGTAACACTTCCTTAAAGATTCACAGACCAAAAGGTAAATTA